TAAATAAATAGATAAATAAATAAATAAATAAATAAGTAAATTTAAAAAGAAAAAAATGCATTCCCAACAAAAGGCTCATATCATTTCAGCTTTCTTGACACTGTTTTTCTCCCAATTAATTTACATATTAAATTACTTATACTGGCCAATTTTGTAATTTAGAACAAGCTTGGCACAAATTATGGAAGAGGCAAATACTAACATACCCAGGTATACTAAGCATTTCCATTAGACAGAACATTAATTCTGATATCTCTTTTATGACATTTATTTAGTGTGTAAGTATGTATGTAACTGTGTGTGTGTGTGTGTGTGTGTGTGTGTGTGTGTGTGTACATGCATGCATGTGTGTGCTGGGCAGGTGCCACAAAGAATATATGAAGATCTGAGGGCATCTCTTTGCCATTTGGGTACTTATTCTTGTTTTTAGGTGTGGTGGTAAGTGTCTTTGGCCAGGAGCAGTCTCACTGGCCCTATCTGAAACTTTTTATCTTTGCCTAAAATGCATGTCAAATGACCCACACATGTACACCACTATACACAGGCAGAATTTCATAGGGTCTCTCCAGCTGGGCCTGATGTACCTCTTTTCACCTATCCTCGGTGACAAAGAAGTTCCATTATTCACACTCTTTTGCGTTATAATTCAGGCATGCTTAGTTTAATTCAGGCATGACTATCTATAGTCATGAATGAATAGCAATGTGTGAACAATTTATATACACTTATCGTTAGTTGATAAACTCTAGGTAATAACGCACTGCCCACAAACCCACCTCTCTATACTGATGCCCATGGCAAGGATAACTTAAGCATTATGGTAATGGTGATTCTTTTTCTCCACATTTCCTGAACTGCTTAAAATGGTGTCCCATCTATCAGTTTCACTTCTCTGCATATCTTTTTGTGTTGTCCTGGACTTTATATTTTATCCCTTTGACAAAACATACCAGTATTTCTTTTTTTTTTCTATTCATACTCTTTGCAAGTTGATATAGATTAAAATATGATATTTTGAACACAAAACATGACATAGTAAATATCTAACAGAAAATACGTAGTTTTAAACAGATCCTAGGAACAACAGAAGAGTTTTGTAACTTTTCTTCATTTGATTTTTCCCTTTGCAATGATGGATACATCGGTCACGACAATGACAGTCCAGCTAGGAAGAGAGATAAAAAGAAACACAGAGCACACATAGTACATGTCAGAATGAGCTCCTGTGATGAACTTCTTCCTGCCTGGAGACCGTCTCCTCTGTACAGCGGCTGAGCCTCCTTTGCACATGATACACATACACATAAGCCACATAGCTTTTTAATGTATCTGTGTGCGGTGTGTGCAAGTCTGTTCATATATGTGAGCACACATGTCTGAGCAGCCATGTGGGACCCGAGGTTGAGGTCAGGAGTCTCCCACAGTTACTCTCCTCCTTATTCCTGGACTCGGAGTCTCTCAGTCGGGCCAAGAACTCACTAATGCAGCTAGTCTAGGGGCCAGATCCTATTTCTGCCTTCAGAGTTCTGGAACTCCTGACAGGCACCAAACAGAACTCCAGTTCCCACAGCTGCATGACAAGGGCTTTATCCACTGAGACATCGCCCCAGGCTCAGTTATATTTAACTTCATATTGCTATTTCACTTTAGCTATGGCCAAATGAATACAGTAAAGGGTGCTGCCACATACAAGTACAGTTAAACAAATATGCATATGTGATAGATGGACACATAGATTGGTGCTAGGACAGACAGAGGATAAAAACAGTCTGGATAGAGAACTGAAAATACAATATGATAAGTTATGAAAACTAATACAGTTCTGTCAACCACCAAATTTCTAGTACAATCTCCTTTAGTACTCAACAACACTCCATGCAGCAATGTGGATCACTGCATTCTGGTTAGAAAACTAAGACTTAAGTAAGTAAGTGACTTGGCTGGAGTTACCACTTACTTCACAGCACTGTCAACCCAGTTCTTCATTATACTGTCACTCTACTTCCAGGGACTTCAGAGATCATCACAAGTTATGTTTCTTCTATGGTGAAATAGTGAAAACACAGTAAAAAGAAACACAATAGGGTAGATAATCTATCGATAGGATCATCAAGAGGCTGGAATTAACGTGGTAGGAGCACCTAGCCTGGGGTAGCTGTTAGGATTTGGAACTGCCAACATTCACACAGGTTACTTAACTCTGTTCTTTAAATTAGAATCAATAGTAGTCTCCACTTCAAGGTAAAGCGCTGATACACGCATTAATACATGGTAAGCATGTTGAGTGTGTGGCTCTATGGCAGATTCTGGTTAAGTGTGAGCTACTACTATGTCTTTATTTCAGTTTGTTAACATGTGTTATGCTATTTCCTTAAAGTTTCTCATTTTCCACTTTAACACACACATCACAAAAAACCTGTGTTCTCTGACATCTGTTAATGCCTTTGTGTTTGGTTTTAGCTTAGCATCTCTTTTTCTCCCTTTTCTGCAGTTGTTTCCTCTCTATCTTAGTCATCTTTGTCCACAAGGCTAATAAAAGCGAGGCTCTGGGTACAACCGTGTAATTGCTCCAAGGATATAATGGGGTGTGAGCAGAGAACTGGTATTCCGTTCAGAGACTGTGTCTACAAATATGCTAACTTCCATTTTGAGATCACATACAACAGTCAGGAATAGGCAAGTGTGGACATAGCAGGGGCAAAATTTGCACCACATGAAGGACAGCCTGAGAGGAAAGTTGTCATAAAAAAAAGCAGCTTTGAGAGAGGGAAAACCCAGCATGTGGATTATAGGAACCAGCTGAATCTAAGGTTTACTTTTTACATTTCCTAAATGGAATTTAATAAATTATCTTATTTGCTTGCTGTAGTTTTGTTACTAAAACAGATAATTCTGTTATTAGTGAAAGTCCCAGATTTAATATCCTCACCAACCCTACAACCAACAGAGGGGTTTATATCCAAAACATATAAAGAACTCAAGAAATTAAATACCAACAAACTAAATAACCCAATTTAAAAAAATGGGGTACAGAGCTAAACAGAGAATTTTCAACAGAGGAATATTGAATGGCAGAGAAATAGTTAAAGAAATGTTCAATGTCCTTAGTCATCAGGGAAATGCAAATCAAAATGACCCTGAGATTTCACCTTACACACATCAGAATGGCTAACATCAAAACCTCAAGTAACACCACATGCTGGAGAGGTTGTGGAGAAAGGGGAACCCTCCTCCATTGCTGGTGGGATTTTAAACTTGTACAACCACTTTGGAAATCAATCTGGTGCTTTCTCAGAAAACTGGGAATAGTGCTACTTCAAGACCCAGCTATACCACTCTTGAGTATATATCTGAGAGAGTGTGATCTTAAATTTAGCTGAAACTTCAAGAAAATAAATGGCCATCTTTCCAAATGTATAACTCATTTTCCCAGCTACTTTTCAAGTTTTTGAAACACATTTTTACATTCAATTCTGAACTGTATTGTGGGTATAAATTTTGATTTCCTAACTACTGTTTTTAAAGCCACTGAAACTTATGTATTTGTCTTCTGTTTCCTTTGATAAGAACAGGGAAGTTCTGACTGGTTATAGGCACTTTTTTTTTTTTCATTTGCATCTGGCAATAGCATTGAGTTATTTTACTGCATTAGAGATGTGAAGGTGAGGGCTTCACATCTTGTCTAAATTGGCAATGCTGAGTTATTTTACTGCATTATCGATATGAAGGCGAGGGCTAGCCTTGTCTAAATTGGCAACGTTTTGGGCACTGGCACTGGAACATTTGCTTGCTTTTTCCCATTCCTAAAATCTTAATTGTTCATTTGGCATATATCATAGCTCTTTTGCAGGTAGTCCAGATTCCTTTAAGAAACACCCATCTAGCTACAATTTACAAGAAACCAAAAGATGTTAGAGGTTGTTGCTAGTGCTAACCACTTAGCTCTAATCATGCGGATGCCCATTGCCATTTACTGTCATCGGTATCTAAGGGTTCATCTACCTTCCGCAGTTTGCATACACTCTCCCCATGTCTGCACTAACACATGTATTAACAGGTATTGATAGGACGGATATCTGTGAATGTACCATCTTCTTTCTACGGTGGAAGTCTGAACACTTACCGTGGTTTTTGAACAACATATCAACCAGAAACTGCCAGAAACCTGGTGAGTGGCCAACCAAGCATGCTCAGACTACCTGTGAGTTCTGGCCCTGCCACTGAGAAGCTTAATGATTTGGGCACTTGGTATCACTTCTTTATCTTTAGTTTTCATAATTTTGTTTAAAAACAAAATCAATGTTACCAGATTTTTATAAAAATTAAATGAACTCCAAAATATATTCACCAAATAAATACTTTTAAAACACTGAACTAATCATTTCCTATGGCTCACCAGCCCCTGCCATTTAATCTGTGTATATTCCATTAGGAGGAGAAAAGTATTGTTTAATAAGAATATAAGTTTAAATAATGAAAGACTGCCAATGCGTCCTATCCCAAAGGATTCATCACAAAAAAAGCATGTTTTCATACTGAACAAAAGCAAAGCCTGACATTTCTAGGAAGTGGCCAAATAGAATATTTATTCTCTACTGCCACACAAAGGCAGGGGAGAAAGCACTTAGAATATTAATGGATATGGTATGATAATGAAAATGTCATAAGCTTGTGTTGGTGAGATTTTAAGAGCATCATTGGAAACCCCAGTGAGGGCTCACTGACATCCCAGCAATGCAGGTACGGCCAGTGTGGACCATTCTCCTTGGCTGTGCCACCTACTTTTTTCATAAACTTCCCCATTTCTTTACTTCTAAACATACATTTCATCTAACGGCATTTTGGATTTGGATTTTTGTTACATCTCAATCTACTTTAAACAATTTTTGCTTCTACTCTAGTGAGTTCAATGAACATTTTCCATATTAATAATTAACATTCAATGAAAAGCACTGCATTGAATATTGAAGTCAATGCCACTTTTGAAGGGAAGGAATTACCTTCATTAGAGATTTCCTTCCAAGGATTGGGTGGATACATGAAGGCTGCATTCTGGATCTGGTCGTGGATGTCTTCATCTTCATTGAAAGGAAAGGTGCCACTCAGGCTCACATAGATGATGACCCCAACAGACCACATGTCTAGGGAACGATTATAGCCCTTGTTCCTCAGAACTTCAGGCGCCAGGTAGGCTGGGGTACCCACCACTGACCTCCGGAAAGACTTCTCCCCGATGATCCGAGCAAAACCAAAATCACAAAGTTTTACCTGTTGACGATAAGAAATTTGCTGAAACCATGAATTTGAGTTTGCATTAGCTCAGCTCTGCCAGAGGTACTCAGAAATACCTTATGCAAACAATAATTACTCCTGGTAAAGCAAATGTTACTTTCTACTTTCTAGTTTTGAGGAAAGTAGTTTATGTCACAAGACAAAACTGGCTTTCATTCATTAAAGTTTCTTGTAACGTTTTCCTTCCTATCCCAAATATCAAAAGATAAATATGATCAGTTTAGAGTATTTGTCAGTAGGTAGGAAAACATGCAAACTGGTAATGATGACCTAATTCCAGGGGATTAGGCAAAGAATGACTCATGGAAGCCACAGTAACTATCAAAATTATCTCTAACTGGGGCAGCAGATGGGACCTGCAGGAGTGAATGCAGCAAAGCCACCCTGTCCAAGTACTGTAGACTTAGGGTCCCTAGAAAGAGGTCCAGTTCCTTCCTAGGCCTGTATGTAGGAAAGGGAAGATTTCCCTTGTCCCCACCCTCAGAGAGCAGGCAGCTTCCCTGAGATTCTAAGGCATCCTCAGTGTAGAGGTCATGCTTTGAACACCGGGCTGGGTTCACCTGCTTTGAAGAAGCCCAAGACCAGACTAAGGAGGCACAGATGAGTACCATCAAAGAAGCTTCATGAGAAGGAAGTGATACAGTGCCATCCAGGAACATAAGGCAACAAGGGAAATGAAAATTCTCAGGGAAGATGTCAAACAAATTCAGGCTTTAAGGGGAAAAAGAGAGAGTTGGGAGGAGTTTGCACAGAGACAGTGAAGCTATCAAGCTGGCTTTCTGCTGAGGGTGGCTTTGTACTTGCCTGAGGGAAAGGATCGGCTGAGGCCAGCAACACATTTTCTGGCTTGAGGTCACAGTGAACAATGTTTTTAAAATGAAGATGCCGCAAAGCCACTAGTATCTATAAAGAAGAAAAGTATCGAGATAACTTCATTTTATGATATTACTAATTCAATTCAAGATATATAGCTAATTTCAAGATACCAATGAAATCAACTGCAACATAAAGTTTAAAGGCCTAGCGAGACTGCAGAATGAGCATTCAAGGTTCTTTACGTTCCAGACACTGGAGTTCACACAGCAGGGTGATAAAGTCCATAGAAGAAGTAGCATACTCTTCCATGCTATTAAATAGCAACAAACACAAGTGTAGACAAAGGAACTCACCACACTGCACAGAAGCACTGTCTTAAACATCTGCATTGAACCACATCTAAGCCACAGTACTAATATAATATCAAGAATAGCTTTAATGCTTGCGTTGGTTTATATGCTACTAATTTTGTATGCTGGACTCTGAATGACATAAAGTAAGAAGATATATGGTGCCCTTGCCATCCTTTCTAGTATAGAAAGGAAACAGAGACCAAACAACAAGGCTAGAGAGCTGTAGTTAAACAGTGCTAACATCTGATATTGAACACTATTTTTTTTCTGTCTCTAATTGATTTCTTACCTGAGTAATTAAAAACTTCGTTATGTGTTCTGGCAACCTGCCCTTTTCACTTGACAAGATCATCTCCAGCATGTCTCCATGGAGTTTTTCCATAACAACAAACACTCTTTCAGGCGTCTCAAACATACACTCCAAATTTACAACACCAGGGTGATGAAGGTTCTATTAAAGATAAATAAAGCACTTGAAGAAAATGAGTTTTTTGATACTGTTTGGCAAGCTCGCTGATTACATGAAACTGTTGAAGCTTGGAGAAACCCACACTTAAGATTCTTAACACCTCCAAATTCCACATGTGCTGTCTTATATTTTTGAAATTCTAATGTTTCCAAAAAATATATCTTTATTTTCTATGCATAGTGAAGTTATTTCTACACTGAAAAAAATATCTAAGTTCTAGCACAGTGAATTGCTAATTAGGTTTTAATTAGAATACCATATTGAGATATGTATAATTTCTTAGGATCATCTCCAATATTAAGCATATTGTCTTAAAAAAGCATACTAGGGCATCTCTACACACTTTACATTTATTGCAGAAGAGAAGAATTCATACATGGAGCACACATGACTGGAAGAGCATCTCAGCCAGAATCCGATGGTTTCCCTGCTTCCCAGGCTGTTGTGGGAGGCAGAAGCTGTCACACAGAGTGAAGATCAGTGTGGACAAGGTGGCACATTATCGCCAGCCTCTGGCTGGTCAGGACGCCACACTATGCAGGGGTCCTTCATGGTTCTCAGCCATTCAATAAATATTTATACAACAGAGTAATGGCTAGCCACGGAGGCTACATCGTACTTGCTATGATATGCTGTCACATACTATTGCTCTGAGCATTATATTATTCCAGTCTTTGATGTTTAAATTTTAGTGTTCTCGGTCAACAAAAGTCTATAGTCAATTTTATCATTAGTTATTTTTTTTCTACAAAACAACAAATCCTAACATCATAAAGTAGGACATGTTTTACCTGTATTTCGATGAGAAACAATAACAATATCAACATAAAACATCATGAACAAAAATTGAAAATCACACCACCCACAGGAAGAAAAAAGTTCCAGCAAAGGCCAGGCTCACAGGATGGCTCTGCTCAAGTTTGGAGTCTCCATGGGAAAGCTGCTCGGTGCACCGTCCTTTCTGAGCATATGATTGACTAGTTTCTTTTCTCTATTTTATCTAACTGTGCATACCTGCAGTGTTCTGAGAAGACTGGTTTCCATAAATACCAAAGCCTTGTGTCTGGGCGATGAACAAGTACAATGCAAAGACCAATAAAAATACATTCTGCTATCTAAATGATCTGAATATACATGCCAATCCTCAAGCATCTCGACCTATGTTTCTAAAACTACATGAGTTCTTGGTGGCTTAAAGAACCCTTCATCGATAGATTCTTTTCTCCTGTTCCCTACACCAAACCATGAGTTTAGCAAACCCATAAATAGGGTTGGGCTTAGTACATTTTACCAAAACTGGAAACATTCCCAAAATGTCTTAGACCAAAAGTATGGAATACATTACTAGGATTTTTTTTTTTTTTTTTTTTTTTTGCCATCTATTTTGTGGCGTATTCATTGCAAACTCAGAAGGACTCTACAAATGTCCACTAAAAAGTATCTTTACAGAAAGGACTAAGAGATTTTTGCTATTTCCCTACACATGACTGTAGTAGAAAAGAAAAGGTATTGGGCTAACAGTGTCTATTTTTAGCCCTATAATTATTATGGTGGTATTATCTAACCCCCACAACGAATAAGAGACACAGATTTTAGAATAGCCTTGTTTCACCTGCACCAGGGCAAATATTAACCCTCTAACTTAACCTTTTTTTTTTCCAACCCCATCCCAGGCTACCTCCTACCCATAATTTCATAAGTAATTACTTATTTTTCATCTGGGCAGTTTCCTCCAACCATGCCGGCACGTGCTTCCCCCACACTAATGGATTTTCTCTCTTCCTTACTCCTTGTCTTCTCATTTTTCTCTCCATCTCCCCAAGATCCTTCTGCCCCGAAAGCCCTACACCTTAGCCTCCCCTACCTCCTCCTGCCTTCCCCTTGTGTAGGCATTTTACTCAGCAATTCCTTCTCATCGCTTGGGTACAGGAGATATTTCAACATTAATAAAAAATGCCCATGGCAGGGCAGTATCCAGATCTCAAAGCACTGAAATCAGCATTTGAATACATACCACCAGACCAACACCCAATATAGGATATTATATATAGATAAATATAAAGATTTCAGAAAAAGCAGCATATTCAAGAGAATATCCAAGTAAAAGCCATAATCCTCACCTGGAAAAGATATTTTAGAAATGTAAACTCATGTGTTTACTGTCCTTGGCTTTTTTTTTTTTTTTTACAACAGTCTACTGCTTTATAGGTGTCCCGAAGAATACACTGAGTGAGAGCTGAAAATTTTTCCTCAAAGTAAAAACTTTGTTCTAACCAATGGATAATAACTTTGTTTGAGGTTAGTCTTATGTCCTATCTTGGCTTAGAATTGAGCATATAGCCTCAACTGGCTTTGCATTCATGACAATCCTCCTGCCTCAATTTCCATAGTGCTAGGATTATAGGTGTTGAGTTACCATGTCCAGTTATTTTTCATAGATAAGTTTATAATTTACTGTTGAGACCAAGTCATACTTCCTCATGGATTGGTTTTATTATGGTCCCACTTAGCCAAATGATAAAATCTTTTATATCTGACAAGAGTAAATTATATACAGGAGCAGGACTGTGTTAATTACCCAAACTCCTATATTATATTCTTTGAAATTTCTTTAGCCTTGGAGAACATGATATTTAAAAACTATAAATAGGGAAAAATCAGTCTATCTCTCCTTGTGTAATCAATGGCACACATGTACTTTTTAATTATGTAGCACATGATATTACCTAGATACATTTCAATCAAGTCCATGTGACTTGATTAGCATATTTTAAAATATAAAATATGAATAGTCCTGGAACACCTTCTTTCTGATATTCCAGATAACTGACTTTGAAAAATGAATGAACATTACAACGGCAACCGTAGCACAGTAGCCTACAAGAATTCTTGCTAATTTCTGAAGTTCACCCCAGGAATTCAGAGCATACATTTCACAGCAGAGCAAGATTCTACAGGACTCTGGCCATCTGTTTGTTGGATTTCCGTAACTTAATTTTCAGGAAATGAAACATTTGGTCAAGCATAGGAAAAAAAGTGAACTTTCACACACTGCAGACTGATGACATAGCTATGGAGTGAACATAAGGGATTTTCAATAGCTGGGAGGAAATATCATTCAGAGATCGAGACAATATCTCTTTGACCCAAGGCTCCTAGAAAGATTAACGTAAGCAATGAAAAACAACAACTTGTTCCTACAAGCAAGGCATTTTATTAATTGAACTGAACCAATTGAAATGAATTAAACTGCACTTTTTAGTTTCCATGTATGTGCTAAGTTATATATGCATTTGCCTTCATAGTACGCCAGCATCATTACTCTTTAATGCTAATGGAGTTGCTTTATTTCATAACTGGAGAATTCATTCCTGAGATTAAGTTGTGATAAGCTATCACTGTCATATTTCTTCTTTCTTCTACACCATTCTACTCAAATATACAAGGGGCAAAAAGAAGAGAATTAAAAAAAATAGATTCAACATAGCATTTAACATTTTAGGAGTGAAGCAGCTTTTATGTGAGGGATCTGACTATTGTTTCATCAGTATTCTGTATGATGCAACTCATGCTGCAACAGGAAAAACTAAAACACAATGAATTCAGAATCAGAATTAAAAATAGCATGATGAACTGAGGGAGAAACAACCCACTTCAAAGAAGTACACAGGAACCTGTGATGTCATTGCTAAAGGTATGATCCCACCCCTTCTCAGTATTGAGAAAAGCACTGCATTCTGTCCATTTTCTAATTACAGTCTCTTAGAATTCTGCTCTGTTTAGAGGCCCTAGAAGTCATAATCACCCAATGCTTTATGAAAAGGAAATGGCTTATAATGACTCGATAGATATGGAAAAGCCATCTTGTAGGGAAAAACATGAAATGCTTGTTAAAAATAGTATCCAGAGTGATTGGAAGTTCTATTGATTTCTGGAAACTTTACCCATCTGTCTTTGGTACATATATTTAATGAAAAGCATCCAGCAATGAACCAGTGTCTTTCCACCCAAATCTGTCTTCTTTTGGTGCCCAGTGAATCCATGAGATCTGAGACCTGAGATTCATTCTAAAAAAAAAAAAAAAAAAGAATTGTTCCTCTCTCTGAACAATATACTAACAATTGAAGGACCTACTCCTTCTTTGCTCAAGTGGATCCCTTGCCTTTGCCCTCATTATTACGCTCATGTCTTTCCTTACTCAGCTGCTGCAGCCTTCTAGTAGATTCTTGGGATTGTTTGTCTTCAAGGTAACCATTAAAAGAAAGATACTATGATCTTCCCAAGGTACTCTGGTTTACAACCCAGTCACCAGTAGCTTCAGGAAAATGAACTTCCCTTCAGTAAGGCAGAGGAAACTTATAAATACCTAGTTGTCTTCATATTCAGCTCAAAATTTTTCTATTATTTGCTCTTCTTCCACATAGCTACCATTCTTTGTTTACACACTAAAATATTTCTTTTAGAGAAAAAGAGGAAAAAAACTCAAATTAAGAAAATGCATTTGTAAGACTAGGCTATAGACAAGCCTATAGATAATTTTCTTATTTTTGCATTATTTATTTTTACAATTTATTCATTGTATATCCCAATTGTAGCCCCTCCCTCAGCTCCACCTTCCCTCTATCTTCCTCCCTATCTCCTTTGCCTAGTCCAATGAAAGGGGGCATTCTCCTCCTTTGCTATCTACCCATAGTTTTTCAAGTCTCATCAGGACTACCTAGATCCTCTTCCTCTGTGGCCTAGCAAGGCTGCATAGCCAGAGGCAAGTGATCAACGAGCAGGCCTGTGTGAGGTAACCCAGAAACAGGAAGACACACATGGTGTGTACTTAGTTATAAGTCGATATTAATTGTATAATATAGTATGACCATACTAAAATATACAGACCTAAAGAAACTAAACAACAAGGAGAACCCTAAGCAGGATGCTTAAATCTCACTCAGAATGGTAAACAGGACAGACACCAGGAGCAGCAGAAGAGA